CCCCGACGTCCTACACCAATGTGATGTTATGGAGGATTTGGCCGTATGCTGGGGTTATAATAATCTTCCACGCACTGAGCCTAACAGGAGCGCCACTGTTGGCGGGCCCCTTTTGATCAATAAGCTTGGCGATATTTTCCGGACCGAGGCAGCTATGGCTGGTTGGAGCGAGGTGATGCCTCTGATCCTCTGCAGCCATGATGAGAACTTCGCTTGGCTTAATAGGAAGGATGACGGAAAGACGGCGATTAAATTGGCCAACCCCAAAACTCTTGAGTACCAGATCGTTCGTACCTCCCTTCTACCAGGTCTGCTTAAGACAATTCGCGAGAACAAGAGCCACTCCCTACCCATGAAAATCTTTGAGGTTGCCGATGTTGGGTTCAAGGACGAGTCCCTTGAACGACGGGCACGAAATGAGCGCCATTTCGCCGCCGCGTGGTGCGGAAGGTCCAGCGGCTTCGAGATTGTTCACGGCCTCCTGGACCGTCTTCTTCTTATGCTCCGCACATCTTTCATCACCCGCGAACAGGCTGGAAAGCCAGATGGGTACTGGATTGAGGAGCTCAAGGAGGACACCTACTTCCACGGCCACGCTGCAGCTGTCCATCTCCGCCTCAATGGCAAGGAGCAACGGATCGGCGAATTCGGCATCCTGCATCCCAGCGTGCTAGAGAATTTTGATCTGAGGCAAGTTTCACGTTTCGCACAACCAGTCCCCTTGGTTTCCTCGATCGGTCTTTGCTAACATCAACAGATACCCTGTGAGCACGTTGGAAATTAACTTAGAGGTCTTCCTATAAGAAATATAATAGACTACGTGACGTAAGAGTCGAGAGAATTGTTGGAACTGAAGATACACATGTCAAGATGGATTGGCAAGATGAGTCATTGATTCAGCAATTGAGATAAGAAACAAAAATAGACAAAAGATATTAAAGAGTCAACGATCTACTTGAACCGCAGGTAATTGATCGAGTATATCTTCTAGTGTATGGAATTCTGTACAAAGGTTTGCCGCCCCCCTCGATGGAAAATAAATAGTAGCCGTGACGTCCGACGAGAAATCTTACATATCGACCTATACCGACCTGAATTATCGGCACTGGGCACATGGAGTTGTCTGGCGAGGCTGTTAATAGGCCCAAGGCACTTAGCTAACCCGTGGGAAGTGCAACAAGGGTTTTGTCTACGGGTATGTGTAAAAGAAGTTGACTCAAATATATATTTGTCATTTAGCCGCTTGTGACCGTTGAGAGAAATCGCTGTATTCTAACGTTGAAGACGCCTATTTAAATACTTTTCAAACAACCAAAACAGCTGCTCAGAGAAACGGGTAAAAGACTGGTTCATCCTGCGTGATCCCATGCAATAAGGCGCCGATAGTATTAATTTAGAGAAAAGTTGCCGAAACTGACCTCTAGCTCATTGTGCTCGCTTACTTCGTTGCTTTGCCCTAGAAAAAGCAATTCCTAATTGTGATCGATGGCCTCTGTCCTGACATAGATTGTGTCTTGTGTTTCGACAATGTGATACACGTTTTCACTGGGCGTTTCAGGAAAACCGACTTCCTAGGTCATCTCTCGCAGCTCCTGATTGCTGCGATTAGTTCTCAGAGAACCTGCAGGTTGCTCATTTTGGCCAAAGTTCCCGAGGAGTCCCTTGCCCAAATTCAGACCGGCGATTCCATCCCGTATGGCAGAGAAGGGGCTTGGCCCTTCTACAGATGCGCTTCTGCGAAGTGAGTGCCTGCCGTTTTCAGGCGTCAAAGCATCATGGGCTGACTCAACACCTGTTAGAACAGATTGACTGGTGCTCAAACTTGGGGGCGACCGAGTCCCATTATCGGCCTGAGCAACACTGGGATACTGGAGGCTGGACACAGCTGCCTGCCTGTCGCTGGCCGCAGCGGCCGCAGCATTTAGATCTCCATTCATCTCATCGTCTGTGCGTCCAAATAATTGGTACCACCATCGGATCTCCTTGAGTTTTGGTAGAATTATGCGCTCCTGGCCCTTAATGTGATCATTGATTGTCGAGTCATAGTCAGGATTGGTGAATTCCGATTTCCGGCAAAGGAAATAATCCCAAACCGAGGATGTTCTCTCCGCAGCCCGAGCGTCTTTCCTCTGCTTCTCCGAATTGTATAGGAAGGTTCCATACTGGCATGAGTACAGGTGATAGAGCAAGCGCCTCAAGAAGCGTTCATTAAACTCGAACCTAGTTTTGTGTTGTCTCTGGAGCTGATAGACACAATCGAGGAACTGGTGAAAGACGGGGCTCACCATTTTTGGTGAGGTCGCTTCTTCTTTGACAACTTCGCCGGATGCCAGCTCACTAATTGTATCAGCGTCTCCGTTATCAGCGGAATTCTGATTGAAGAACCGCTTTGCACCACTTAGCACATTTTGGAATGCGTCACCACGGCCATCATTTTCCCCAGGCTGAACGGTGGCCCCTGCAAAAGCATCCTTCTGTGTAACAAACCATTCCTCATGGCTCAGGTGGCCAGAACGTAGTCTGAACATGTGGCCGAAGGAGAGCCAGTCCTTTTCAACAAGGACGATGAAGCCCTCGATGGTACGGTAGAATGGATCGAGCATGATTTGAGACAAGGCACTCAGTTGGCTTGTTCGATCCCACCCGTCAGAACAATGGATAAGTACATTTGAATGATTGATCCCAACCTGTCTAGCGACAATTCCAGAGCCATCCAAAACGTCATGAATATGCTTCAGCCAGTCGCTTTGCCGCAAGATCTCGCGGTTGGGTGGCAAGGGGGAGATGTCGGCATCTTTCAACGCGTCCACCACTCGGTTGAGGGACTTGCGCATAACATGAATATTTTCGATATTGAGAAAGATTTTCTGCGCAAACTTGTATCGCTCAATATTCTCAGAGCCCATGCCTCCGAGTTGGTTGATCACTGCATTGACCTGGGGCCGGGCGTCGACAATTAGATTATTCTGTTGCGCCCCGTAAACCAACCTCTTGCCAGTTGCTTCATCGTAGAATGTTGTTGACTTTGAAATAAGCTCGTCTTCAAAACGTTCGGTGTCAGACAGCTCTAATTGCGGCTGGGGGATCTCATCTGAAGACTCGATCTGGCTGGACACGGGTGTGCTGTCTTCCGAGGAAGGGTTCATGGATGCCGAGAAAGACGCGGCGACCAACTTCTCATCCTGGATATTTGTTTTACGTAGCGGCCCCGCAAATGGCTGAGAACTCCGGGTGATTGTACAGTTGTTGACAGGATGTATATAAGATAATGCTGGGATCCGATGGCGCGACCTGAAATCCTTGGCATATTTGAGGACGTTATCCGAAATCTTTAAGGGAACTACCAGAACACTGGGATATGTGTCGCAGAAGGAATAATCTTGGTTGATGGTGGTAATCCTCCAACCCTTGTCGGGGAGCTTCTCGCTGATACCCTGCCTCCGGAATTCGGCCTTCGCATCGTAAAAGTTCCACCCATTGATGTCCCGCTCAAGCTTCAGAGGCTTATGATTGAAAGCGTACAGCTTCTCGATAGTGCCAAGCTTGCATGTTCGAGACTTGACGAAGTTCAACGTTTCGCGGGCGGCGTCGTTGTCGGGAAAGTTGAAGGTTACAAACGAGAAGTCCCGGCATCGTACCCGGATCGAGGGAGCTTGTCGAGAGGAGAGGGGGACCGGCCGGAAAACACAGTATGTAACCATGGGGAATGGTATCCATTTCTCGCGAGTCTTGGGGGGCGTGCTGGCATCCTCCGTGGGCGGCTTGACTGGCGCGCAGAAGACGAGGTGGAAGTCGGTCAACCGGAGGGTTCCATCCGTCGGCTGGCCCCCGTAAATGGCTTGAATGCCTTCAACTACCTGATGAACATTTAGTACCAGTCCGCATTCGAAAATTAGAGCCAAAGGGAGTCGAAGCGGACCTTCCGGGCCTCCATCGTCGTGATCTTCGCCGCCTCAGGAAATGGGGGTTGAGGCTAAGCGGGGCGCAGTCTATAAGAGCTCCAAGAACTACTCGATAATGCAAGTCTGTCTCTTGAATGATGACTGTTAGGGAAAAGGGTCGGTGTAACGATAAGGTCTTGGGAAGATCGCAAGACGGCAGCTGGCTCTTAAGATGCTGTTGTTGGGAGGGCTGATGAGTGGGAGGCCAAGCCGATGGGTGAGTTGCGGATCGCTCTGGGGAAAGCGTCACCTGTCTTTCAAGATGGGGAATTGCTTGGGTTTCGGTACATGGTTGGGCGGGGGCTAAAGCGGCAGGAAGAAACGGATACGCAGCCTATTGATGATGCGCAATAGGGCAAAATTTAGATTGATTAGAGCATCCCTGGTGCATTCCTTGTCTTGTTGAAGTATCGCAGGAGGTGCCAGCGCGGGGCTGGAGGGCTGCCTTTATTCCTAGCTGAGCAAGCAAGCCCAAAAAAACGTCAGTCGCTCACAGCTGCTTTGGCCTGTGACAGGGGCATATGATCTGGGGCTGCTTATAGGAGGTACCCGTCTGCCTGAGCAAGTCCCCAACAGTTGTTAGCCACTCGTATGCAAGTCAAATGAGTAGGCTTTACAAGAGAAATGCGCATGTGATATCCGACTATGCCAACAGTTTTCCATCAGGCACCTATCTCCTTGATTCGCATTGCTCTGGTTGTTGATACATGTGTTTCCGCCCTTGGTGATCGTACATGACGATCCTGGTCCCCACATGGGCCATTGCGACACAGGTCCTTATCTTATCTGGCGACATGCCGCTAAAACAGTTTTTCCGACAGCCTTCCATCGGTCCAGCGCACGGGCCAGCTGCCCTGACCGGGACACAGGACATTTAGTGGGCACTAAAAAGGGTTGGAAAAGTGTTAGGGCTTCAACCCACATCGAAAAATTGAGGGACGACACTCTATCCTCCAATACAGCGTGCATCGCGATAATCACCCACCCACGCCTCTGTACGCCCAGCCCATCCCAAGTTCGCAGCCAATTCCACCGGCCGACACTCAAAAACCATACAACATGGCTCACCCCGGTACTCAGATGTGAGTAAAGACTCCCCAGCAGAATGCTTGTCCGAATAAACGCATTCCAAACCCCCACCATCTCAGCTATGGCTTCGGCGAACAATATCTTTGAAAATTCGGGACGGGGCGAATTTATAGACAATTCTTGCTAACTTTCCTCTCCCAACAGCTCCAAGAGGAGAAAGTTCGTCGCTGACGGTGTCTTCTACGCCGAGCTCAACGAATTCTTCCAGCGCGAGCTCGCTGAGGAGGGCTACTCCGGCGTCGAGGTCCGCGTCACCCCTACCGTCACCGACATCATCATCCGCGCCACCCACACCCAGGAGGTTCTCGGCGAGCAGGGTCGCCGCATCCGCGAGCTCACCTCTCTCATCCAGAAGCGATTCAAGTTCCCCGAAAACTCCGTCTCCCTCTACGCCGCCAAGGTCCAGAACCGTGGTCTCTCCGCCGTCGCCCAGTGCGAGTCCCTCCGCTACAAGCTCCTCAACGGTCTCGCCGTCCGCCGTGCCTGCTATGGTGTCCTCCGCTTCATCATGGAGAGCGGCGCCAAGGGTTGCGAGGTCGTCGTCTCCGGCAAGCTCCGTGCTGCCCGTGCCAAGTCCATGAAGTTCACCGACGGCTTCATGATCCACTCCGGCCAGCCTGCCAAGGACTTCATTGACAGCGCCACCCGCCACGTCCTGCTCCGCCAGGGTGTCCTGGGTATCAAGGTCAAGATCATGCGCGGTGCTGACCCCGAGGGCAAGGCCGGTCCCCAGAAGACCCTCCCTGATGCCGTCACCATCATCGAGCCCAAGGAGGAGCAGGCCGTTGTCCAGCCTGTCAGCCAGGACTACGGCGCTAAGGCCGCCCAGGCCCAGGCTCAGGCTTCTCAGGATGTTCGTGCGGAGGAGGCTGAGGCCGAGGCCGAGCCTGCTGAGCAATAGTGAATGCTTGGCATGCTAGGTTGTTGGGAAGATAGGGGGGTCGATTTCGATTGAGAAAGGCGGTGATGGTCTGCTCAGGCGTCAATTGATCATTTGCATCTGCTAAAGGGCTTTGGGAGGGTTTCACATTTGCTCATCATGGTAAACAGAGCCTTGAAATGAGACCCAAATAAAAAAACAAAAGTTACCACTAGTGCAACCATGACAGTAGACTCTTGTGAAATGATGTTGCTTTTGAACTGATGATCCTATCGTGACTGATTTTATCGGTCTTTAATTGATGCGTGAGCTAGTACAATTACCTATGTTGTATATCGAATTCAAAACCTGCCGGCGCCAGCTTTCAGAGTCCCCCCCATAGTAACACAGATATACCTCTTGCCCCAAGCAAAGGAAATTCAAAGAAGCTGTTGCCTATAAATCGACTCCATTCTGCGCACCAATATATCATACAAGGATTATATCTCCTTTGATGCAGAAAAACCCCCAAGTGAACGCCAATGCACCGAACCATCCCCCCTTCCGTTTCTCTAGACTCCTCATAGCAGTGATATATGAGCAAGAACGTAACAGCTTTTTTTTGCTCTCGAATGAATAGGTCGGAAGCTTCGACAACAAACATAAAAATCGTGATTCACAGCTCTATCAATGCCGACGAACGGTGATGAAAAGATATGACGGGTGTGCAAATGGCTATGTTGTGAACCAAACTATCGTGAGTGGATTTTGCCTGATCGTTTCGTCAAGGCTTGATTTGATTAGATGGTTTTATATCCCCAGCTTCTTTCGGCCATTCGTCTTGTTGAAATCATCATGACCGCCGACTATTCAATTCGATGTCATTGGTGCGGCGAGCACCTCCACGAGCATGGCCGTTAGGTTGACCGCTGGGTCGACGGTCCTCCTCGCTGTCTTCCGCGAGATCGTTTAGCCCGAAGCCCGCAGCCTCCTCTTCATCGTAAGCCCGTATCAGCCCCTCTCGGTCACCATGCTGGCTGCCAATACTGTGGCGGGGGTCACCACTTCTCCTGGACTGCATACTCAATCGAGAGACCATATCTGTGCCTGTAGTATCTTCTCCACCCCTCGAAAGCCTTTGGCCATTGGGATCGCCTCTTGAGAGATTGAGCAGGTACACTCCGGTGAATGTGATGAGGAAGCCGCAAAGCAGAGACAGAGTGTTGACTGTGTCTGTGGTATTGAAACCACTGAAGAGAATGAACGATGCTGATAGGGTTGCAGTGGTGAAGGTGACGTAGTATAAAGGATTGACGCTGATGGGACATGTGTCAGCTGTGTCTCAAGGCAGAGGAACAAGTGTAAGAGTAATTTAACCTACATGTTTGAAGGGAAGGAAGCGAGTGCCTTGTTGAAGTAGTTCATCTGGGTCAGAATGGCAACAGCCGTGACGATAATGAAGACATAAGTCGAGGGGTGCGTAAATTGATTGTGGCCAGCAAATGTGAGTTTGAGAGCAATGCCGAAAGCCTTGACTGACATGACCGAGATGGATCCCACAGTCGAGCAGATGGACAGATAGACTAGCGCATTCTTCTTGCCGTGCTCAGGTGCGACTTTGTAGATCATTATGACGGCGAATATAACGACAAAGGCGGCGTAGAGGAGGAATCCTGTGCTCATCATTAGACATAGACCTAGGGTGCGCTTCAGGAGCGGTTTGGCATACCTGGCTGGATAGCGTAGTGCAAGATCTGATCAACAGTCTTGATGTCTTCGTCTGGAGGCGCGTGGAGAACAATGACAACTGCACCAATTAGGCAAATGGCACTTCCAAGTTTCCCCAAAGTTCCTAGTTCCTCTTTCAAGAAATATGATCCCAGCACAGCGCCGACGAGAACACTCAGAGCACCCAGAGGGGTGACAAGAATGGCTGGCGCAAAGGCATACGCTGCAAAGTTGAAAATCTCTCCCGAGCCCACTAGCAAGTTTGTCAGTCTACTCTACTTGTTGCGCCAACGAGTATCAGGCCTTGCTCACATAATAAGATACCTGCCCACCACAAGGGATTCTTCAAGTATACGAAGCCATCGCCCTCGAAGCCATGTCGCTCCTCTGCCTGTATCAGGCCCTAGGGAAGGAGATTCGTTAGTGTCGTGGTTGAGGAGGTCCGATATCCGCGCCGAGTCGCAGCTTCATCTCGTTGGGGAAAGCAAACCTTCTTCGTAATGACAAAACTTGTGCCTGTAGTCGTCTCGTCAGCATATGCTTGAAAAAGGGCGAGCTGTTCTCATCCCATGGAGAGCCTACCAATTGTTACGGCTGACGTTATAGCAAGCGCTAAACCGATGTATCTACAGCAAATGTATCAGCCACCATGTCCTCAGGAGTGCTCGGAATTTGATGCGCCTTGGGGGAAATTTGGGATAGGCCATCGCGGGAGGAGCCCGTACTTGTCGTCAACCATTGTGAGCATTGTAGAATCGTGCGGCCGGCGACAGAGCCGGCGAGTGACTTGATGTGTTCAAACGAGCGGATGGTGGATAGGAGCTCGCACCGGGCGAGGAGGTGTTTTGTGCGCGTTAAGGAGAGTCGATTAAGGGGTTCGTTCAATCGTTTCGTGTCGTCCTCAACTGGCGCTCGCAAGCGGATGGTGGCAGGCTCTCGTCGTGATTCTGTACTTGCTGAGGACAGTCCTGGCCTCTGTCGCGACAGGGTACTTGCGGTACGGTCCACTGACTGTTGGCAAGGCAGATATCAATGCTCGCGAGGAAATCAGGGCCTGCTTGATGCTGTGTGCGTGCGATAGGGAAAAAAGCGCCAGCGACACTAAGGGGTCAGTCGAGAAGACGCAAGGTGTACTTGGGCTTGATGTGAGTGGTCGGATGAAGGTGGTGGCTGGAGTGGTCTGGAGTCAAAGTCAAGTCACTAACGATTTGTGCCAGTTGCCAAACACGGATTTTCAGGGCACATCCAAAGCAATAGTCCCGTCAGTGGCGGCACCTGAGCCTGAGAGCGGGTGGGTGGGCTGCGCTGTCGTCTGCCACGGAGGTCTCTGTCCAGGCACCTGCCTCTGGGCCTAAAAGGGACCTACCGGCGTGCTACTCTGCTAGCGTTAGGGCCGCCAGGTACTGCTACAATCTACGTGCTCATTGGAGGAGGCGCTGCCTTCCGTCCCGATGTACAGATACCGGGGTAGCCTACCTCCCATCGGATCCCTTTGAGTGGCTGCGTCAGGGGATCTCATCAGGGGAGGGAGCGAAAAAAAGCTCGACATTGCTCAGCCTCCTTGATGGACCCTCCTTGGTCGTGTCTGGCAATCTGGGTCCCGGCCTCCCTTGCAATCGCCCATCTCGCAACGCTGCTCCCTCACCTCACTGACCATCTCAATCCCCACCAAAGTCCGGTTTCATGTCTACGTAGCCTGCCAGAGCAACCGCCCAACCCTAGATACGATCCCCGCCCCTCCAGCAGAGTGGGTTTGATCAAATGTTCCCGATAGACAGACGCGTGCATCGTGTTTTATTAATTACCTAGTGTAGTGCTTAGCCTGCACGACAAACTTTTCTGACACGAGGTGACGAGTACGTACTGCCAGGCTGCTCCGCCGAGTGGGTAAGACGGAGTAGGTACCCAGCAGGTAATAACCCCATCTCCATGAAATGGCCAATGCGCTTTGATTGCGCCCTCGTTTTCAGCACGATAGAGTCCGCCAAATCGAGGCATCACACGTGTAATTCGTATAGCACAAGGCTGGCCGTTCGTGGCTGAGAGCAGAGACCTTAGTTTCCGTCTTGACATGATGCTTTTCTTCCCCTACAGGCTGTCATTCTCACGCCTTTACCATCGTGCCAAATTCAAATAGAACGTAAATGCATGCCAGTCAGAATTTGGAACCTCTTTTTCATTACCTAGATATGGCACGATGTTATATAGGGAGGCCAACTACCTTATCCCAAGCATATCTAGTTCCTAACTCCAACCTACACTACCTAGGTAAACTCCGTTTTCAAGGAATATGATCTGTCTTGTCGATGAGTAAGCGGCATAAACAAGTGAAGACCATGAAAAAGCAAAAAGAAGAGAAAAACCGGGCAGGGAAGGGCGCACTCTAGGCGCCCCTCTCATTACTGTAAGAATCCGTACAACGACATTTTCCCCCTCCAACGCCAATGCTCAATCAGATGTGATTCGCCAGCCATAATAACCATGCTAAAGGCCCGATTCCCACGAATTCAATGATTCTGCGGCGGTGAAGTCACTGGAAATATGTACCTATAAATATGGTACATAGCAAAAAGGGTGTTGAAAATGACAAGTTCCGGAAGTTGCGGGTACAAACTGTTGCTTGTTGTCGATATAAGTCAAGCTGTACTGCCTGAGAAAGCCAGAGTCGCATCCTTATGAGGCTTCGGAGTTAGTACGTTCTTTATGCCTTACCTACCACCAGGAACAATTATATATAGTCGAGTTTAGTTCTTGCTCCAAATGTTCCCAACCCATCCAAAGGGTCACCACGTTGCCTTCGTGATGTAGAGGACGAGGAGTGATACTCCGTTAGTAGAGGTCCCAAACAAGGGAAGGAAACAGCATCTCTAGCTGTATCGGTTTTGGGGGGAAGGGGAATTATTGCTTTGGTCAGTCAAAATTAGTTTGTCAGAAAGTCTTTTCAAGAAGACCGGCGCCGTTTGGCATCTGTTCTCATGTTAGTTACTTGGATCCAAAATCAATAAGGAATTGTTCACCATACCTGAGTTTTCATCCGCATCCTGTGGGTCGGTCGGATAAGACCGTTTAGCGGAGGCCATTGCGGACTCGCCTCCAGTGGCAATTTCATTTTCTTCAGCTTCGTTCCAATCAATCTCAGCCAAATCTACTTGGTACTGATCATCATTCTCATATTGAGGGGCCTGGTCCCCAAGAAATCTTACATGCTGGTCCTCGGTCTCATCAGCATGCAAAGTGTTCGTCGTTGTGCTGCCAGATGGCTCGTCGTCGAGTTCTCCCTCAGAAATGTGTTGGGATGTGACTGGTGCGGCATC